ATACCCTTTCTCATCAGCAGTTAGAGCAGTCTTGTGACTTCTATCAGTGTCCAGCCGAGCACTAGCTAAAGCTTGTAAAAGGAGTTTATTTCTGCTCTAGGAGGATGCAAATCCCTCACCTCTGTCTGGACAGTGCTGATTGGCCCTGTGCTGATCATATGCACTCTCCCAAGAAAAAAAAAAAAACCTCTCTAGCAATACACACACTAAATTGAGCATGTGCATGCCTACAGTTCAGTCTGGAGATAGGAGGTGGTTGCTTGAAAAAGGGGAGGAACAGAGAAGAAAGGATCAAAGAGACTTTTTACACAATGCAGAGGATTAACCCCTTAGGTTCCACATTGAATATAACAAGCATGCTTTACTGCATAGGCAGACTGATTTTACTGTTGTGGGTTCAGAATCACTTTAAGTTAACCATTTTGTTTCATCATATTGATTATGTTAGAATGATTAATTTTCAGAATTAATTTCGTATATTCGGATTCATTTTGTATATTCATTATTTTCAACTTGATTAGACATTACAATTTTTGAATTTGGCTATATTTGTTCTATTTTTTCTATTCTATTGTATTCTTTTCTATTCAATTCTACTCTATTCTATACTTTCATTCTATTCTTTTCTATTTTTATGCTATTCTTTTATATATTCCCTTTGGTTTTATTCTATTCTATAAAGCAGCCTACATAAGAATCATCATCTTATTTCATTTTTTTTACTTTACATTTTTTTTGCAATTATGTTTGAATTAAAAAATGAATTTTAATAAAAAATTTAAATAATTTGCTTTGTTATAATCCCAAGCTTGCCCTTTGAGCCCATGAGGCACACAGAGCGTGGCTTGGCGCTGCCCCCCACTCCCTTCTCGCTGGCTGAGATTGACAGCAGCGGGAGCCAATGGCTCTCACTGCTGTGTCAAAGCCAATGAGGATAAAGAGAAGAGGGGGGGGGGGGGAGCTGCTTGCAGAAGGTTTTTTACCTTACTGCATAGAATGCAGTAAGGTAAAAAATCTTCTTCTTTGGAGCCACTTTAATTGCCCACCCTTGGTCTTCACCTATAGCAAGGGCATTATTCAACTTTAGTCAAAGCTGCAGTTTGTTTTAATCTGCAGACACCTCTTATCTGTATAGGCAGTTTTTTTGGGGAAAGGTGAATTATTGCTTTAACCCTTTCACTGCCAGAGCCTTTTTTTTTTTCTGTTTACATGTTTAACAATTCATTTTAGGCCTGAAGATTATATAAAACCCCCAAAACATTATATTGAATTTTCTAAAAACAGACACCCCAGAGAATGAAATAGTGTAGTTCCAATTTTATATATCATATGATATTAGGGGGGGAGCAAACTTTTGAAGTGGATTTTAAGTGCTTGGGTGGAACTTTAATTTTTTACACTTGTGTTTTGTGATGAAAAAAAAGCTTTTAAAAAAAAAAACACATAAAGTCTCCAATTTGATGTATTTTTTGGTGACAGATTCTCTTTGATGAGACATCTGGGGTCTAAAATACCTCTGATGTCTCACCTGTTCTCCAATGAAGCTGATGGAATGCAGATCGCAGTCCATTAGCTTCTTGCCTGGCCATTGGGGAAATTGACATGGGGATCTTTGCAATAGTGCAGGTAGTGTGCACAAGACATGAAAGCTTTGGGTGCAGCACAGGAAGAAACTGCAGGAAGAGATATACTGATTTCTGACTTAAAGCGAACCTTCACCCATTCTAGCAAGGACCTCTCCCCTGCCTCCTCCTCTCTCTCTCTTAGGGCTGGTTCACTTATGTTCGGTGTGTTTTGGGCACATTTTACATGCATAGGAACAATATGATTTAATTCTATATAATGTGCATTTTTATGAAAGCACATCCAAGATGCAACAGCAGGATTTTTTTAATGCACTGTACATAAAACACACAGGTGTCTGGAGCATGGATAGGGTTGGGGTTAGGGATGAGCTCAACATTCAGTCTGAACACAGATTTGGACTTAAATTTGCCTGTTGGGCGTTCATCCACAGAAGGTGGCTGGCTATACCATAGCCCCAGCTGGAGATTTGTACATCCATGTTGTACAGCATAATTTGTGGCTGTCAAATTGGGACCAGAGGCTGTGTTCATGCACTTGCTGCATCCCAATAGACAAGCATGGGATTGTCTGTATGTAGATACACAGAACACCTGCGCGGTCCTTTGCATGAGTGTATGCATAGTTATGTCCGTGCGAATGAGACTTAACTATGTATGGCCAGCTTAAGTCTAGTTTTTTTTCATTCATCCAGCAGGCTAATCGATTTTTCTATCCACATAAACAAAATTTCCCCTCCTTCCCGCTGGGACATTATATTCTGACAGAGGCATCCACAGCTGATTGGTTGCAGCTGCTGCCTTTTTCCAGAATTTTCCAACATGTTCTGTTGACAAAAGTCCAAATGTTCAACTTCTGTTGAATGGGACAGCAACGCACTGACCGGATTTTAGCTGGTCCCTGCTGAACCGGCTGAATTTTGATTGGGGTATGGCTGGCTTTGGGAAGCATCTAGCTATATAGGACAAATAACTACAAGGGTTGGACAAACGTTATGGAAACACTAGGTAAAAGAATGAAATTGTTACCCAATATGGTGTTGGACTGCCTTTGGCATTCAAGATGGCCTGAATTATCCTGGGAATTGACAAATATAAGTCTTGGATGGTGGATCATGGAATCTGATATCACTCTTCATACAAAAATTGTTCCAGTTCTCACAGAGATGCCAGTGGTGGAAAAAGAACCCAAACCTTGTTTTTCAAAATTGCTTATAGAGGCTCTATAATATTGAGGTCTGGCAACTGCGGCACCCAAAGAAGGTGCGAGACTTCATCTGCATGCTCATCAAACCACTATTTGGCAACACCAGCTGTGTGAATCAGAGCATTATTGTCTTGGTAAATGGCACTGGCTGGCACATGGTTAGCCAAAATTTGTACATACTTGCTGGCAGTGACTCTACCTTTCAAGGTGATGATAGGTCTGCAGAATACCAAGATATGGCTGCCCAAACCAAGATTGTACCACCACCATGCTTTACCGTTGGCACAAGACAGTCCTGGTTGTAAGCTTGGGATGGTGTTCGCTATGTGTAAACATGTCCGGTGGTTCCGAACAGTGTGAAGCTGGATTCATGGAACCATATTACAGTCTTTCATTGATCGGTAGTCCATGATTTATAGGTTTTGCACCACTCTCTTCTCTTCTGAGCATCAATATTGCTCACTAGTGGCTTGGCAATTTCCGTTTGCCTGTGAATGTTTTGTTTTATGGAGTTCCCTCTGCATAGTTTTTGTGGACACAGACTTTGTAAGACTGAGATTGAGCTCTGCAGTCACTTTTGCAGCAGTTGTTTTCTTATTCCGGGTCACAATCCTGGACAATGCCCTTTTGTCTCTTTCGGTCACTTGACCATGGTTATGCTTATCAGAAAACGTTTTCCCATAAACTGTATGTAGCACTACTCTCGTGAAGGCCGCTAAGTTTTCAGATACCCCTAAGCTCCATATAGTCAGGCAACGTGCATTTTCCACACTTGCATCCACAGTCAGTGAACAGTCCATGAGCTTGATTTTTGTTATTTTTTTGGGATATAACTTGGATAGGGTAATAAGGATCATGGGATGCCCAATTTTACTGAATCAATGCACACAGACAACTTCCTTCCTATTTACAGAAAAAGATTGTGGACTATTCTTTTCCTTGAAAACCGTCAGTCTTTTTGGATCAGTAGCAACTGCCCCTTACAGACTGGGGACTCGCAGCCCCCTTGAAAGTTAGCTTAGCCTGTTGCAAGCTACATGCAGAGATATCTCCTCTCCCCTGTAGAACTGCTCCCCTCTCCACAGCCTGCAGACACTACCAGCCCGTCCTAGCTGCTCTGAAGATCTCCCATGTCAAGGATAAAGGATTAAGCACAGCACTGTCCTTTGAAAGCTTGCTACATGTGGCAGTCTCTCCCCCTGTAAATCCCAGGGTGTGCCGATGTACTCACTCTGTCCTGTTTGCTCCTACTGCTCCCAGGCCTTGATCCTGTTCATGCCACACTGCTGAATGGACCGTCCTGAGCTATGCCGAGCCCAATCTGGAGGCCAGCCCCCCTAGTCATAGGGGACTCTTCCCAGGCCAACGACAGTCTTCTCAACACTCCATATTAAACTCGATCCCCATGCCAGCCTGACTCTCCCATATTTATGGGTTGGTCCACCACTCTACCAGGGCCTACAAACCTAGGACTGGTTAGACTCCCACAAACATGCAGATTAAGTCTCCACCTCTTCCGCCCACTGGCTTCTGAAAGGTTCCATGGTCCTCCAGAACCAGGGGGAGGGCATTGAGTCCCAAACTGTTAAGCCATCCAGCTTGACCTGCAATAACCCAACCTTAATCACCGACCCACACAGTTACCATGAGTCATACGCAATAAATTTGCCTACACTATTCTAGTAGCACACTAGAGGGCGCTACATGTATATGCCGTCATAACCTTTGATACCGTACCAAATAAATTGGCAACTTCAGTCATAGAGGCACCAGCTAAGCAGCAACAACAATTTAAAGCTTAGTAAGCTCTGATATGACTCCGCATTACTAACAGGGCACGCAGTGAATGACGAAAGTGAGGTTTCCCACCTGTTAGCTAGGTGTCTCATCACACAGTGGAATCAATAGAATTCTGCTTTCAACGCAAAACATGTCATCACTTTTACACTTGCAAATCATGTAGTGTTTCCATGTTTTTGTATAACCCCCTGTACATGTAATTTGTCCCTTGGGGGCAGAACAGTGCAAAACAATTGTAAAGATTGTTCTTTAAGCCCATTCTGTGTTGCCTTTTTGCTTTTTTTGTGTACAAGTAACTTTTTAAACTCATCCTATTTCCTTTCATATCTATTATTTTTATTTTTATTTTTTTATGTTTTATCTCCAGTACAGTTTAGACTAAGATGGAGAGTAAGGGGAGATTCGATAGTGAATTGCGACTGAAACAGCGTCTGGATCAAGTCACTGATGAGGTGAGCGACAGCTAGTTGTGTGATATGGTTACCAAGCACAGGCACTATACAGGGTGTCCCTAAAGTCTGGACACATAGGAAATATCACTGTATGTGTATAATGTATCACTATATAAGCTCAACAGACCTTAACCCCCTTGACTTTGTTTTTTGCGGTATGCTAAAGGAGAAAGATGTACTCAATGAAAATCACAGATCTGAATCACCTGAAGGAACGCACTCTGAATGAATGTGCTCATATTGACAGAAATGTGGAGTTACTACATTGGGTTCATGTGAATCTTGGAAAACTTTGCATCACAAATGGTGGCAATCACATTGAAGATGTTATTGATTAACATTTCAATGAAATAAAATGTTGACAAATGTATTGAAATTTATTGAAAATATGCATTTTGCCCATGTGTCCAGACTTTAGGGACACCCAGTACTATGCCTGAATATTTTTGACACGTTTATAGATGATCCAACTAGTTTGCCATTTGTGTTAAATACCAATAAGTTATATGCCCTATGGTAAAGAAATTTAGATTGACATTAGGCAAACAGAAATTGGCGCGTTGGAAAATATCATCATCCTTATTGTTCTCTTTTTAACCTCCCTAGCGGTATGATTATTTCAGATTTTTGGTACTGAAAGCGGTACCATTATTTTGCATGGAAATATGTAGTTTTTTATTGTAGGCTGTAATTTTTAGGAATAACTCACTGAAATCTGTCCGAACAAGAGTCTATTAAACATCCCGGGTATGATAAAATTTGAAACACGAAATCATACATTATAATTTAATAAATAATCATAAAGAATAATAATATAATAATAATACATTTAATTCAATAATATAATCAAACCAAAAACACTGACGCCATGGACTTTTCTAAGTTTCCAGACAGAAAGAACAGCCAAAATGCAGACAGGGGACGGGACAAAGCAGTAGGGGACAAAATGTATGTGAAATGGTTTGAAACAGCAATGTTTTACTATGAAAAATTCATTTAGAAAAAATTACATTTTTTAAAATTTTAAAATTTCCCGCCGGTTCCGGCGCCTGTACGTCCCGACATCACAGGGACTGGAACACAGAAGCTGGATGCCGGCATCGGCCGGAGGAGATGGCCTGGGACGCTGCAGGGGACACATCGCGGGAGCGAAGGACAAGGTAAGCTCTGCAGGGAATCCCTATGCAGCGCCGCATGGTAAGCCCGAGTGTAGCTCGGGGTTACTGCTTTTGGTACTGAAATTTTACCCCGAGCTACACTCTGGAATACCGCTAGGGAGGTTAAATGCTCTAATACAGTTTCCTGTCTGTGCAATTCTCAGTTGGGGAAGCTGTATATTCTTATGGAGAGGCACTGCTTTACTGTTATAATGTTCTTTAATCAGATTAACAGACATGTTATGCTTTATAAGGCTAGGTGCACACTGTCACGGCTCTGATAGCTGCGTTTGCAGGGCAGTCCATTCATTTGAAAAAGGTTCCTGCACCAATTTCAACCCGCAGCGTCCAGGAAATGCAAAAGCACCATGAGATATCCCCCGGGGCTCCCGCATCCGCAAATGCGCTGCGGTTTTAGATGCATGGGAGTGCCATTAGGAACTAATGGTAGCCCTGCACGTCCATAAAGAGCAGTGCGTTTTGGCTGCAGGTGGTTGCAAGTGCGGGAACAGCTGTGATTCCCGAACCCGGAACCACCCACAATAGTGTGAACCTAGCCTAAAGGGTAATTTTCTGCTTTTTTTTGTCAAGTTATATTCTAAATAAATAAATAGATTCATAAATAAATAATTGATCTATACCCCAAACTGGTAATGGTCACATCCTATGTGTCTAATACCTGCCATATTTAAAATAGAAATACAAAAAAAAAACTAATTTTTTCTATTTTTATTTTTGTATATAGTGAAATAAAGGTTAGACTTATTATTATTATTATACAGGATTTATATAGCGCCAACAGTTTGCTCAGCGCTTTACAATATAATGGGAGACAATACAGCAACAATACAGTTCAATACAAGCAGGAAAGAAGGGCCCTGCTCCATGGAGCTTACATCAGGTCTTCACAGCAGTCCTGGGCTAGGTAGGAGGGCAGTTCTATAGAAGCATAGGAATTCTTCAGGTGCAAAAACTCATGCAAAGCGTAACGTATTGAGTGTTTACAGGAACTTCTACTAAAGTCTAAAATGGCCAAATATGCTAAAACAAATGTATTTTTTTGTGCATAGATCGACTGAACATACAGGTTTGAACAGGGGCAATTAGAAAAAAAAAATGGGATTTTGCATGTTAGTAGACATGTGCAATTTGTTTCGTTACCAATCTAAATTTGGACAAATTATTTGTTATTCAGATGTATGCAAATGTCTGAATAACAACAGTAATGAATTTCAATGAATCAGAAATAAATTATAACAAAACAACAACATTAATTTGTTTCATTCGGATGTTTGAGGCACCCGAAATAACACATGATCCAAATTGATTCACTAATGGCTGGTTAAGGAGTGGCTGGCTGGCTGTCATGTCTTTAACAACCATGACTCATCAGCTATCAATGGGATTCCCTTCTGAAAACAGAATGTAAACAATAAACATGACTGTGGAAAAAAGTGGGTTGGGTTCCCCTCCAAAGACCATACCAGACACTTATCCAAGCATGCAAAAAAATGTCAAAAGTAAAAAAAAAAACACACAGTTTTTGATAAGTCCTTTATTAACACCCCCCCCCCCAATCTGGTAGTCTGTTACCAGTTTATAAAGTTCAATGTATATTTAAGGCAGATGCCTAAGGTATCTGTTACTGAGTTCTCCTTCTCTGGGAGATAACTGAGTGATACATAGGAGATGATGAAAATACTGTCCTTCCTAGGATTTTCTGGAGCTTATCTGTTATTGATGGAGTCTATCGGATTTAGTGTATCCCTCTGTGTTTAACATGTGTTCATTATCCTTTTATCTCATGTGCTAATCTATTTTAATACTGATGATAGTTATTTGTTTTGTTCTGTCAAAACTTCAATAAAAAATCTTTTGAAAGTAACCCCCCCCGCAAGAAAACCCCCGAAATGTCCCCCAAAGGAGATCCAACAAAACTTTGCCCACCAAACACAATGCGTTCTGTCCAGGGACACACTCCAAATGGCAGGTAAACACGGGGCGAGGCCACCCGGTGACATCACCAGGTGACCCCGCCACATTTCTACCTGTCATTGGGTGAGTGTCTCTCCACAGAACATGTCACCGACAGAATGACAGGGGACGGGGTCACCTAGTGATGTCACCAGGTGACCCCACCACAATGAGTTCCCCCATGGATATGGTTCCCCAGACCATCACTGACCCACCACCAAAACAGTCATGCTGAACGATCTTACAGGCAGCATAACCTTCTCTGCGGCTTCTCCAGACCCTTTCACGTCTGTCACATGTGCTCAGGGTGAACCTGCTCTCATCTGTGAAAAGCACAGGGCGCCAGTGGCAGACCTGCCAATCCTGGTGTTCAATGGAAAATGCCAGTCGAGCTCGAAGGTGTCGGGCAGTAAGCACAGAGCCCACTAGAGGATGTCGGGCCCTCAGGCCACCCTCATGAAGTCTGTTTCTGATTGTTTGGTCAGAGACATTTACTCCAGTGGCCTGCTGGAGGTAATTTTGTAGGTCTCTAGGAGTGCTCATCCTGTTCCTCCTTGCACAAAGGAGCAGATACCATTCCTGCTAATGGGTTAAGGACCTTCTATGGTCCTGTCCAGCTCTCCTAGAGTAACTGCCTGTCTCCTGGAATCTCCTCCATGCTCTTGAGACTGTGCTGAGAGACACAGTAAACCTTCTGGCAATGGCAAGTATTGATGTGCCATCCTGGAGATGTTGGGGACTATCTGTGCAACCTCTGTAGGGTCCAGGTATCGCCTCATGCTACCAGTAGTGACACTGACCCTAGCCAAATGCAAAACTAGTGAAAAACAGAAAAGATAAGTAGGAAAAAAATGTTAGTGGCCTCCACCTGTAAAACCATTCCTGTTTTGGGGATCGCCTTACTGTTGCCCATCTAGTGCACTTGTTGTTAATCTCATTAACACCAAAGCAGCTGAAACTGATTAACAACCCCCTTTGCTACTTATCTGATCCCCTGCAGATTTTGTAAGTTTGCCCACTTACAAAGAAATGGGTTTATAATTTTTTTATCATAGGTGTATTTTAAATGATAGAGACAGAATATCAACCAAGAATCCAGATAAAACACATGATACAAATGTTATAAATTGAGTTGCAGTTCAGTGAGTAAAATAAGTATTTGATCCCCAAGCAAAACATGACTTAGTACTTGGTGGAGAAACCCTTGTTGGCAAACACTGAGGTAAGACGTTTCTTGTTGTTGGTTACCAGGTTTGCACACATCTCAGGAGGGATTTTGGTCCACTCTTCTTTACAGATCTTCTCTAAATCCTTAAGGGTTCTTGGCTGTCGATTGGCAACTTGAAGTTTCAGCTCCCTCCATAAATGTCCTATAGTATTAAAGTCTGGAGACTGGCTAGGCTACTCCATTACCTTAATATGCTTCTTCTTGAGCCACTCCTTTGTTGCCATGAGGGTATGTTTTGGGCCATTGTCTTGCTGGAAGACCCATCTATGACCCATCTTCAGTGTTCTGGTTGAGGGAAGAAAGTTCTCATTCAAGATTTTACAATACATGGCCCTGCCCATTGCCACTCAGTGCGGCAAAGTTGGCCTGTACCTTTAGCAGAGAAACAGCCCCAAAGCATATTGTTTCCAACTCCATGCTTGACTGTAGGGACGGTGTTCTTAGGGTCATAGTCAGCATTTTGCTTTCTATAAACACAGAAAGACGGGTTAATGCCAAAAAAGCACAATTTTGGTCTCATCTGACCACAGCACTTTCTCCCAATCCTTCTCTGAATCATTTAGATGTTCATTGGCAAACTTCAGATGGACCTGTACATGTGCCTTCTTGAGCAGGAGGACCTTGCGGGTGCTGCAGGATTTCAATCCATGACGACTTATTGTGTTACCAATGGTTTGTTTGGTGACTGTGGTCGCAACTGTCTTGAGATAATTCACAAGCTCCTCCCGTGTAGTTCTGGGCTGATCCCTCACTTTTATCATGATCATCCTTACCCCATGAGGCAAAATATTTCATTGCGCTCCAGGCTGAGGACAATTGATGGTTATTTAGCATTTATTCCTTTTGAGAATAATCGCTCCAACAGTTGTCTCCTTCTCACCAAGCTTCTTACTGATGGTCTTGTAGCCCATTCCAGCCTTGTGAAGGTCTACAATCTTGTCCGTGACGGCCTTTGACAGCTCTTTGGTCTTGACCATGGTGGTGAGGTTTGAATGGAAGAATGAGATTCTGTGGACAGGTGTCTTTTATACACATAACGAGTTGTCATTAGGAGCACCTTCTTAAATTGACAGGACTAATCTGCGTACCACATGAGCACATAGCCAGTCTGTGGGAGTCAGAATTATTGTTGGTTGGTAGGGGATCAAATACTTATTTTACTCTCTGAACTGTAACTCAATTTATAACATTTGCATCATCATTTTGGATTTTTGGTTGATATTCTGTCTCTATCATTTAAATACACCTATGATAAAAATGATCATTTCTTTGTAAGTGGGCAAACTTACAAAATCTGCAGGGAATCAAATATTTATTTTCCCTACTGTATATATTGGTCTAGAACTATTTTTAAAAGATAAAGAAGCTTTGAAATGTAAAGTAGACTGGGGTTACAGATAAATGTAATTGGCAGAACGGTATCTTTTTTCCAAGGCAGGGAAGACTTATTGTACAAAACTGAATATATAACCATCTGTATGCTAATAAAATTAGTCTTCATTAATGCACTATTGAACAAGTAGAAGGTGTAAAAACCTGAACAAAGTAGTAAATTATTAATTAGCATTATTGTCATTTGTCAAGAGAAATAATTGGAGATGGATCACAGTGGATGGGAAATGTGTTCAGCACATAATTAGAATGTCTTATCTAGAAACCTGGTGTCACCTAGTGGCCATAGATTTATATTACACCTTCCAGAGAAATGTGAGTCCTACAGTTAGACCTTACCAGTCCTTAAATGAAAATAAAGGAAAATAAAGCACTGGTGTGGTGTCAGCTATCCATTATCTAAACCAACGTCACTCATTTAGACCTCATAAGGGTGATGATGTCCATATAGTGCAAACATGCCATTTTTTTGCAGTGTCTCTAACTTCCAGGTGCTATGTGCAGGAAACCCATTGAGGTCTAATGGGAAGCAGTGGCTGCATGGACACAGTCGCTTATCCTAATGTAACAGGTATGTGAGTGCAGGTGAGTGGCCCTGAACGCAGCAAGTGTCTATGAACCTGGGGGTTAATGCAAATTTATGCAAAACTAAACTATTTGCTATATTGAGGTCAGCACATCAGCCCCCCATATTCACTAAGTTGACCCCCACTGGCCTAGATCTTCTCATTGAGGTTTACACGATCGACATGTATTTTGTCAGCAAGCTCAGGCTGGTCAATGTTTGCATGTTAAGTTAAAAATAAGAAGGTTAAACAATCTGCCAAGAGCCTTGAGCCACACTGAGTGATACATATTCATTTTAGCTCTGGAATAAGCACTGATAGAAATGTTTGTGTTGTATAGAAGGATCCAGAGTTCTTATAACCCGGACATTTTCTCTTTTAGTCTCTGGAGGTTACTCGACGCATGGTGCAGCTAATGGAAGAGGTGAGACCCTCAATGGCTGATTAATATGACTTGATGATGGGGTGATGCCATGTTACTGCAGGAAAGATTGTTTTTTTTTTTTTTAATTACAGATACTTATATACTGCTATCAATTTTCTTATAGCTTTACATATATATTGTACATTCACATTGGCCCCTAACCCTCAAGGGGCGTACAATATAAGGTCCCTAATTTACATTCATACATACACATATTAGGGCCAATTTAGACAGGAGCCAGTTAACCAACCTGCATGTCTTTGTAGTGTGGGAGGAAACCGGAGTACCCAGAGGAAACCCACAAAGGGAGAATATGCAAACTCCAGGCAGGTGGTGCCGTGGTTGGGATGTGAACCAACGACCCTAGTACTGCCAGGCGGAACCATTTAGCCACTCTGTTGCCCATTTATTTATTTATTTATTTCAGGTATTTCTATAGCTAACAATTTATGCATCACTTTAAATTTACATTGTACATTCCCATCAGTCCTTGTCCTCAAGGGGTGCACAAGCTATGGTCCCTAACTCACATTCACACATACACATACTAGGGCCAGTGTAGTCTGGAGCCAATAACCTACCAGGCAGGTAGTGTCAGGGTTGGGATTTGAACTTACGATCCTAGTGCTTTAACTTTAATTTTCCACTCGTGAATGAGTTGTGGGCATCACCTTTAACCACTTCCCGACCGGCTGCTGCATATAAACGGCCCGACGGTGGCACACAGGGTCAGGAGGCCGTTTATAAACGGCCTCCCTGCACCCTGCTTGTGCACGCTCCCTGGGAGCATGCAGCACCGCGATTCGGTGCCCGCTGTGTCCTCCGGACACAGTGAAACACCAATCGTCGGACGGGACCTCTGTACGAGGTCCCGATCATGTGATCACTGATTGGCCAATCAGTAATCACATGCAAAGTAGTAAGCAAGATGTCACTTGTGACATCATTGCTTACTACGTGTGAAATCTGTGAATGATCACAGAGGTCACATGGTACAAGGCTATTCACAACAGCCTTGTACCATGTGACCAGCTGTCACCAATCACAGCTCACTCAGTACTTCTCAATGAGTGCAGGAATGCACACAGAGAGAAAGAGAAATGATTGCTTTTACATCCTATATGGGTGTAAAAGCAATCAGTATAAAAAAAAGAAAAAAAAATCTTCATCACCCCCCACAAGTAGTACAGTGTCACCATGGTGACACTGTACTGCTAGGGTGACAGTATGTAAAAAAAAAAAAAAAAAAAAAAATAATATAAACATGTAAAACAAATGTTTAAAAATTATAATTTTTGGTTATAAACTAATTTGTTTTTTTGTTTTTTTTACTAAAAAGATAACGGAATAAATTTTGGCAAAGATTTATGATGAAATATTATTTATTTGCAAAATTTTATGAAAAAAACACTTTTGTTCAAAATTTTTGGACTTTTTCACTTACATAGCAAAAAAAATAAAAATCCCAGCGGTGAATAAATATCACCAAAATATGCTTTATCTGTCTCAAAAAAATGGTAAAAATTTTTTTGGGGTACAGTGTTGCATGACTGCGCAATTGTCATTCAAAGTGTGATAGCGCTGAAAGCTGAAAATTGCCCTGGTCAGGACGGGGGTAAAAAGTGTCCGGTCTGGAAGTGGTTAAAGAGGCGCTTGCCCGCCCCCACCCCCCTTCCAAAAACAAAAATGCAGTCAGCAGCTACAAATACTGTAGCCGCTGACTTTTAATATTAGGGCACTTACCTGTCCAGGGATCCAGCGGTGTCCTCACCCTGAGCCGATTCTTTACTCAGCTATCGCCATCTTGACTAAGGGAAAGCGGCTGTGAAGCCTTGCAGCTTCTCAGCTAGTTTCCTACTGCACATTCATGAAGCGCGCTGTACTTTATGAATGGCCTGCGGTCTTCTGGGACCTGTGACGTGTCCCAGAAGGCTGTAGAGGAAGGGGGGGGGCGAACTTCTGGGTCAGTTTACCGCGGCGAACTGAGCCAGAAGTGGGATAAGTGGGGTTTGCACATTAAGGGGGAGTGGTTGAGGGCAGTAAAAATGCAGCACAACTCCCTATTTTTACCACCCCCAAATGAAAAGCCCTTAGAGAGCCTTAGAGGGTTACAGAAGAAGTGCCAGAGTGTAGTCTGGATAAACACACATATACAACTCTCTGTAACATGGATCTGGATAAAACACATATACAACTCTGTAATGTCAGATCCTTTTCTAGGCTGCCTTTTTTTTTTGATATGTATTTCCAAAAGTAGATATTTTTTATCAGTGTACGATGGCTCCATCAAGAGCTGAGTTCACTAGCTGTTAACTCCACAGTAGTCCAATGATTAATTAGTAAAATTAATTATAACATTTTTTTTTTCTTCATGGCTGTGTTTCCTGACAGAGTAAAGATGCTGGAATTCGGACGCTGGTGATGCTGGATGAACAAGGAGGTGAGGCTGCTGGTCTGTAATAGGAGGAGATCATACTACGGAACTCAACAACCCACATCTATGAAATCCATGTATAGCTCTCAGCCTACCCTTCATGTTTCCTTCAGTAACTTCCTACAGGCTCTCACTATCCATTTGGTGTGATATGTATTTCCAAAAGTAGATATTTTTTATCAGTGCAAAGGACTGCAAAGACGAGATATTTTAACTGTAGAATAAAATGTTTATCAGAGGAGAATAAAATATGTTTAAACAAAACCTACAGAAAAAAAAATCTCTCTATATATATTATTTATTCATATAATTATAACATATAAATATAATATTTATATATTCATAAATAATTAACTAAATTTATTAAAATGAAATACATATCATATAAAAATATATATAGAACATTTGTATATTTCTAAATAAATAATATATATTATATATATATATATATTTCATAAATATACAAATGCAATACATTATATGTAATTTTACACACACATATATATATATATATATATAACCATATATATACCCGGAATATAAATATATTGGACATGATTTATATAATTATAATTTATACATTGTTATTATTATTTTTATTAATCACCCCCACCACCCTGATTCTTGTTGTGCCAAGTCATTGTGCCTGAGCAGCCAATCACCAGGCCCAACTGCTGTTACATGGGGGTAAGCGTGTAAAGCAGGGTGCAAGTATTTTTTCATTTAATTGATTAAATTATTGATTGATTGATTTAAAGACAGATGTACTTTAGCTATTTGAAGGTCAGTATGCAGTTGCTTGCAGTATATTATAGATACAATTTTGGGGGCTCATCTTTGCTTCACATATAAGTGTGTTGCTGCCACCTTGTGGTGTGTTGGCAGTACTACTGTTTGAAATTTTACACATTAATCCATTGACATATCAGCAATTAGATATAATTTTGGTCAGTAGGGGATTCTGTGGTCATACGTGGTGTGTATACCTGTGGTGCATGTGGAAAATAATATTCATATAAAATGTATAGATTGGCTTGCTTTTTCATCAGCTGGGTGGAATTTGTGTTAGAAGCTGTCCTGGCCCGTGAACATGTTATATACCTTACAGAGATGACTTGTCAGAATGATTGGTAAGATTTTTATCCTTTCTTGTGAAGTGATGATTTTATCACCAGCACACAGAGGGGTTTTCATTTAAGCAGAGATCAGACTTTGAAGGACTTGGCCAAAATTACAACTTATTTTTGGATGTATTTTTTTTAATTTAAACTAGAAATGGCAAATCCACCTATAATTGTTATGATCTGTTGGTGGAAGGAGGTATTCAATTAATTAATCTGACTGCCATTGGTGGGGTCAGGGTTAGCATTAGAATATGTTGAACTTGATGGACTTCAGTCTTTTTCAGTTCTAGGTACTATTGCAGCCCCTCTATACCCCCATACCCCGGACTCAGATTAGCAATCATCATTAGTATATTCAGGAGATGTCCTCCAAGAGAATATACCAGCTTTATCTGGGACTCCAACCCTGCTCCACACTCCTCAGGAGCAACTTTAAATTCCTTTCTTTTCAGGCTTCCCCAGAAAGGCAAACCTAGTATACATTTCAGATAGGCCTCTACCAGGCAAGCAGGGCCTGAGACAGCAGCTCCATGTGTTCCCACCCTAGATTGGAGCCCAGGTTGAAAAGAGCTTGCAGCAGTTCACTCCAAATAGTTATAGCCTCACCCAGCATGCACCACTGGCACAGGAACCCATATGGAAGAAAAATATACTTGAAAAATATTATATATATATATATATATATATATATATATATATATATATATATATATATATATATATATATCCTGCATGTTGAAATGTGTTTTTATTACAAAATAGATGAAAAATACATGAAAAATATTTTTAAAAATACATTTCAAATATACTGTATGTCTTTAAAAATACAAATCTACATTTTTGGACCCCCTATACCCCACCAGTACTTACCTCTGTGGATGACTAGCTTTCACTGCCCATGCAGCTGGTGCAGCAGTTTTGGAATATGAAAGCCATAGTCTTCTTTCTTTAGGAATATCGGGACAGATCAGAGCAATTCTGATTGGTCAAGCACTGGCCAATTAGAATTGCTCTGATCTGTCCAATTGTCCCTAAGGAAAAAAGGGGCAGAAGGCTTTTAAATCCCTGGACTGCTGCATTGGATGCATGGTGGGCAGTGAAAGCTAATCATTGACGGAGGTAAGTGCAGTGGGGATGTGTAGTATGTTAGTTCACCTTTTCATTTTTTGTGAAAAGTTGAACTTACACACTAATCATTCTCTCAATTATTAATATTATCAATCATTTATTCCTCTATCTACAATCATTTATTCAATCAAGCAATCATGCTATCTACAAGCATACAATCAATCAATCAAGCATTTTGTATATCTATCTTCATTCATATAATCAATCGGTAAAACAATCAACCATATTTTCTATCTTACATGATTTCAGAGCAGCTAGAGCGGGTTGATAAAGGTCTGGAGCAGATTAATGAGGATATGAGAGAAGCAGAGAAGAATCTCACTGATATGGGGAAATGTTGTGGACTGTGCTTGTGTGACAGGTAGGTGTTGGTAGTCACAACTTACCATGTCTATGTTATTGGTGTGTGCTGACTTGAGAACATCACTAAAGCCAGCCATACATGGGTCGAATTCTGAAAGAATTTTCTTTCGAAAATCTTTTTCTAAGAATTTTTGTTCGAATTTAGCAACATTAGTGGGTCATAGAAACAGCTTATTTCGTGCTACCATTGAAATTGAGTGATCGGGCATGTTGGAAAGTTTTTGAAAAACGAAAAGGAATTTCAAATCAATGATAGAAGAATCGTGCGAGAAATAAAAACAAAAAAAGAATTGAGCGTGAGCTGTGACCAGGAAAGAAAAGAAAATTCTTGGCCACGAACATTCTTTGCTGTAAGAACATTGAAGGTTTATGCAGGTCATACATGAGTTGAATTCTGAACAAATTTTCTTTGTATCAATTTTTTTCTTATCTTCGGCATTTGTTTCATATATTCATTGGTCCGGGTGGATTCAAAAAATTTTACAGTTTTTCTGAAGGATTGCTATATATATTATCGAATCAGATGAATTCGAATTTGAAGGATATTATATTTTCTTACCTTAGTAGTCCAACCCACCAAGAGATATGGCATGAGCTGATTGGATAATATCATATGCGTCTAAATTAATGAATGGCACAAAATTCAGATCCATTCGTTATCCAAATCGGATTTATGGAACAAATTTGAAAATGTAATTAATTTCCTCATTGGCCCAAACTACTATCGCATCATGTGATGTCATCCGAACGAAACAAATGCAATTGTTAATTTTATTACAACTTTTTTTGGGATTCCTTGATATTCATTATTGTATAAATCCGAATCTCTGAGAATAAAACATTTTTGACCGAAAAATTAATCGTAATGAAACGAAAGGCACGTGTCTGCTATGGGCAATGTTATTATCCAGCCTTAAAACTCCTTTATTCCTCTGCATATTTTTCAGTGAAACTTCAGCCAAACATGCCCAGATCCAGGGGGGGGTGGTGGGGTGGGCTATAGTTGTGCCCCCCAAAACCAACCCTAACCTGCCACTATATTTCTAGTTAGTATACAACCCTAACCTGCCACTATACTGCCCAAACCTGCCACTATACTGCCCAAACCTGCCACTATACTGCCCAAACCTGCCACTATGCTGACCTAAATTGACACAACACCACCCTAATCTAATACTTTACTGCCCTAGCTTGGCACCATACTGTCCTTGACTGACACTACAGTAATCTCAGTTATGCATTGTGTGGGGAGGAAGAGCTCTGCTGCCCCCCTGTTCTCTGTCCTGCTGACCTCCTAACCTCTGCCCCCCTGACATTTTTTACTGCACCCCTACATCGGACAGGCTAGATCCAGTCCTGCAGTCAAAACTCCTTTTAGTTTGAGTTGAGAGTGTTCAGTTTTTTTTATTGCTGTCTGTGTCCCTATCAAGGAGACTTCCCCATTGTTCCTGCATGCTTACTGGGAACTCTGGTGGAAATGTCACATTACAAAAATTTCAAAGAGACTCAAGAAGGTAGTCATGGTCCAAGTTGACAGCAACCATGTTTAACTTGAAGTTTCAGTTTTGAGTACAATTAAGCATTACATTGATAACCCTTCCTTATATCTTCCATCCTTGTCATTTTCTCTTCTTGTCTGTCCTATATTTGGTTCTTGTACCATCTTAGATTGATGAACAGCTCTACATACAAAAAAGTGTGGGGTAAATCCAATGATGAAGTGGTCTCCAGTCAGCCTTCTCATGTTGCTGATGAAAGAGAGCGCATGATGATGAGTGGTAGTTACATCCGAAGGTAAAAAGTCCAAAAAAAGCAGCTCAGGGAAACCAAGCTACTTTCAGTAGGGTGAAGGTCTTACATGATATATTAAGCCTCACCTCATGTTTCATCATCATCAATAGCCTAACCAGCTACATTTGTGATGTACCTCTGTCAGGTGATAGGCCAGAGGGCTCAACCTTCATTAAAAGTTTTTACTTAATTAAAAAGAGGCCAAGAATCCAGTTAGTATACATAGCTATCTTCATTACCAACAAGGCTTTGACACCACCCATTCATCAACAGCACTCCATTCCTGCATGCCATGTCTTAGGGATGTTCTCTTTTCCACTGTACCACTCTTCTAATGCTGGACACTGATGACGCTTTTCCACAGAATAACAAGGGATCCTCGTGAAGATGAAATGGAAGAAAATTTAAATCAAGTCGGGAGCATTCTCGGCAATCTCCGTAGCATGGCTCTGGATGTTGGGAATGAGATTGATATCCAGAACAAACAAGTGGAGAAAATCATGGAGAAGGTTAGTAAGAGTAGTTGGGGACACACAAGGGTAGATGTGATAAAGCCATTATAAACACTGGACAAGTAGCCATTGATGACCATATTGATGATGGAAATGGGTAAAAAGCATCAGGGTGAGAAAGAAAGCAAAAAACACAGGTAGGAATCAAAGGAGATCAAACCTCAAAACTGAAAATATTTTAATACGAAACAGTCTTTGTTGCCTAAACCAACCAACCAGTTTTATTCTTTCACTTGTTACGCACGTGTACATTTCTGAGTTATAAACTTTCAGTTCTGGAATCACAGTTTGCTACTGGAGTATAAAGTAATCATTTGCATATGCCCACAAGCTAGTAAAACCCTTGACATTAACATTTGTTCTTCATATTCTTCTTCACAATATCTTAGAGGTTCTCCATGGTTTAGCTCACAACAGACTGTGGAGTGTGTTTATGAAAAAATTGCATAGAACATGCCCAGTGAAACTGCACGTACATGTGTTCTGTGCCAATGGGGCAAAAAAAAATGTTATTAGGCTAATTTGTGTGCCTGTTGAATGTTTTTCATTGATTTAAAATAGAAAATGCCACATTTGGCCAGTAGATGGCCCTAAGTATGATATGAATTTCCTGAGATACCTATTACCATCTAGTGGCCAAATGATAGCACAGGAAATAGTTGACATTTTTTTGTTGTCCCATTCACACAGAATAAATGTACATGCACTTTAACTGTGCGAATTGCTATGCAATCTTTTAATAAAATAATCCTGTTTAAAGTGTATGTAAACCCTGGCAAAGAAATTCTCTTATTTGCTCTCTTTGCCCTGTTATCTTGGCTGTGAAGTCAGCTGCTCCAACAGACTTAGAGCTGTCATTCATGTGACAGTCTATAGTATTCCCCTTCACTCCTCCCCCAGCAGCTATATAGGGAGGTGAAAGGAGAGGTGGAGCAGCTGGGCCAGCACAATAATTATACACTCGCAGAAGAGGAGAGGACTATGATGTGCAAGGAGGGACAAGGCTGTACTAGGATATTGACTAGTCACAATTTTCTCGCAATTTCATAGGCACCTTACAAGTAAATAAAAAATAATTTACCTTGGCACTATAGAACAATGAGTCTTTTTGTTTTGGAAAATAAGTTACAGAGATGATTTTGGGTAGTTTAGCAAAAGACAATTGGGCAGAGTTGACGCCATTCAATCCACAAAAATATACAGAAATGGAAAAGAAAACTTGATTGGTTTCTTGAATAGCAAACATTAGATTTGCTGTTGTTGATTAGGTATGTTATTTTTGAGTGCAGGAACTTTCTGTGGCCATTCAATAAAGAAATGGTAACCACCTAAAGAAAATCTGGTTATCACAAAATCATTTTTTAACTCTTAACTCTGAATTAAACCCCTTAAAGCAGAACTCCAGGTAAAAACTGAGACTCTGACACATTCAACGTGTACAAGCCTTGTGTACCCACCCACATTCACTACAATTCCCTGTGTTTGATGGGAACTGTAGTTTCCTTTTACTACAGATAGAGAGGAGAGGATCTGATGTAATCCCTGCTGTTACACCTCCTCCTTGGAGTAGCTGCTGTTATCTCTTGAATTACAGAGATGAGGTCATGACAATTCAAGTAGACCTTTCTCCTAAATGGTAAGGATTTTCAAAATGTTATTAACTGTTTAGTATTTTGGGTGGAGGGTGTACTACTGGGTGATTTTTATTTTGACTATCCCAGAGTTCTTCTTTAAGCTAACCAAGTTCCCAAGGTATCACTAACATGGAATGAAACCCATAAAGAAGGACTGTAAAGTCCACTGGTTATTTTATGTAGGTAGAGGGAATACAAGGAATTTTGGGGTTGGATTCTCCATCTTCTACGATGTAATGTACGTTACAAGGACTATTTTATTCTGGATTTTAACCCTTTGCGCCGGCGCCTCTAAGAGTTTCAGAAGACGGGAGGCGGGCGGGGTTTTAGGGTCATGTGACCGCCGTGATTCGCCGTCACGGCGGTCACATGATCGGAAAAGGTCCTGATTGCAAGGGGAGATCGAGACCTTTCTGTGAGTCACGGACATATGTGCTGAGAGCGCGCAGGGCGCGTGCTCTCAGCACATATGTATTTTCTAATGGTATGCAAATAAGCAGCCACTCGGCATTGAGGACCAGACGCAGAGAGGCCCCATATTTGTGTGCGCTCGGTGCCTAGGAGCTAAGCAACTTTCTGCTATCAAGCTAGAAGCTTAAAGTTGATCTCCAGCTTTACCTTTTAACTAGTTATTTTGGTCCAAGCTGCCCCAAACAAACTACTCTGTTTAAAATGTCAAGCTGGAAATCAGCTTTAAATTAGGCACCAAAATCACTGAGTTTTCACTTTTGATTGCTTGGCACTGGCAACCTGAATTTAAAAAAGTAAAACAAATTTTAACATTGTTTTAATATGATATACAAATCTAAGATCTTTACAAATAACAGATTTGCTTTAAAAAGTACAAAATCCCCAATCTTGTCTTCTTCCATCCAGGTTGTAGTGAATGAAGACCGGATAAAGGAAGCGAATACCAAAGCCAAAAAGATTCTTAAGAACGTCTGAGACTTCCCTGCACTAGCATACTGATCCGTGATGAGTAGATATTGCTTTTACCAACCCCACTTTGTTGTCTGGGTTCCTCTAGGTGTGCCTTCATCATATTGTACAGTGATGTGTCCCAATATGGGACCCATCACATTGCTTGAAGATGGAGTATGAGCCTATTGCTTGTGCCTTGTGTGTAGGAAGTGGAAAACAGTCATGTATTAAAAATGCCGTAAAGGATTATTGTATTGACTGTAGCAACCATTCTGATTCCAGCTGTCATCTTAGCATAGGTTAGAAAGTTAAAGCTGGACGGCTCCCTTATATGTATTTCTGTGTATTTAAAGGTTACATGACATTTAAATTTAATTCACTGATCAATGGAATATAAGTTAGCATTTAACCACTTGCCTACCAGGCACTTATACCCCCTTCCTTACCAGGCCAATTTTCAGCTTTCAGCGCTGCCGCAATTTGATTGACAATTGCGCGGTCATGCAACATTGTACCCATATGAAATTTTGATCATTTTTTCCTCACAAATAGAGCTTTCTTTTGGTGGTATTTACTCCCCACTGGGCGCTTTACTTTTTGCGCTATAAATAAAAAAGTGCAAAAAATTTGAAAAAAAAAAAATTCTATTATAAAATTTTTCAAACAGGTATTTTTTCTCCTTCACTGATGTGCGTTGATGAGGCAGCACTGATGGGCACTGATAGGCGGCACTGATGGGCACTGATAGGCAGCACTAAAGGGCACTGATAGGCAGTACTAATGAGGTGTCACGGATAGGCGGCACTAATATGCACTGATAGGCGGCACTGATAGGTGACACTGATGATGGGTACTGATAGACGGCACTGACTGGCATCACTGCTGGGCACTGACTGGCGACACTGACTGGCACAACCCCTGGGCACTGACTGGTGGCACTGACTGGCAGCACTGCTGGGCTGCACTGGTGGGTGGCACTGGTGGGCAGCACTGGTGGGTGGGCACAGGTGGGTGGCACTGGTGGGCACAGGTGGGTGGGCACAGGTGGGTGGCACAGGTGGGCACATGTAGGTGGCACTTCTGGGCACAGGTAGGTGGCATTGCAGAGGGGCACAGGTGGGTGCACTGCTGGGCACAGGTGGGTGCACTGCTGGGCACAGGTGGGCGGAGTTAGTGGGCGCACTGCTGGGCACAGGTGGGCGGAACTTGCGGGTGGCACTGCTGGGCACCGATCACCGATCATCAGGGCACTGATCATCAGTGCCCTGATGATCGGTGCCGATCCCCGCTCTGACAACTGCCGGTTCTCGGCAGTAGTACTTTCCTCACGATCTGACAGCGTGAGGAAAGTGCATCCGAGAACCGGCACTTGCATTTCCCTCTGATCCGCGTGTCATTGGACACCGCTGATCAGGTGGTAAAAGGCCGCTGTGATTGGCCTTTTACCACATCACGTGATCAGCTGTGTGTCTGCAGGACACAGCGATCACGGAGATCGCCGGGTGCGCGCCCCCTGGGGCGCGCAGGAGAGCGCGTTCTGGGAGGACGTCATATGACGTCCACCCAGAACTGGCCGGCTCCGTGGTGAAGCCGTGTTGAAGCATGACATTCATTTTAATTCGGATCAATGTGCGGTCGGCAAGAGGTTAATAAATGAGGGTTCAGCATTGAGAGGCCGATAGTCATTTTCTGAGCAGTACGTGGTATCCTATTACCCCCCCCCCCACTCTAACCCTGTAACTCCCACATTATCCTTCCTTTTAACCCCAACACAAAACCCCCGTAATCCTAACCCAAAGGCTAGCTTCACATTTGTGCATTGCGGGAATACAATTCTTAATGGCACCCCAATGCACCTTGCTAACAATGTACCATGCATTTTGGGGCAGCTTAATTTAACCACTTGACCCCCACACATGGAATGGTGACAAACTAGAGTACATAAAATTATCCACAGGCGATGCTTTAAAAGCCTTTATAGGTTACCAATTTACAGTTAGGCTTCTTTCACACTGATCCACCGCAAAAACGCATATGCATATTTACAGCACTTTTGCTGCGCTTTTTGAGCTTCTTTTAAAGGACATGTGACTTAAAAAACTGCACCAAAAACACTTCACAGAGACATTTTTTAGGAGCTTTTCAGGCGCTTTTACGTATCAGAAGAAAGGCGGGAACTTCTGTCCGGGAATGTGAATGGAACATCGCATCATTACTGGGCTGTCCAATGGGACAGGAGAGCGTGGTAAAGGCACTTCGATCACTATTACACGAAAGAGAATCGCCCAGTAAAGAAAACTGTGCCAGGATCGTGGTGGTAGTTGCAACCTTGATCTCGTTATAACCACCTGAATACTAGACTATACATACGATGGTACTGAAAAAAAAAAAAAAAGTCTAGAACTTCTTTTGTTTGATTTTTGCATGTTGGGCAGCCCATTGAAATGAATGAGTTGCCTTAAATTGTGCAAAAACACATGCACACTGTTGCACTTGCATAATTGTGAATTAAGGGCTCATGTACACGGGACGTTTGGAAAACACTTCTGAACGATGGAAGCTGACTGCTGAAAAATGTAGGTTAAAAAACGTCAGTTTAGCCACGTGTACATACCGCGTTTATACTCGTTTATGTGCGTTTGCGTTTAGAAGTGTTTTTAAAAGATAACCTCAGGAGACCTTCGTTAATGCCCAGAATGCACTGAAACACAGTAAAAAAAAATTAACTATTTCAGACATTTTGAGAGGAATAGAGAGAGCAGAAGCAGAGAGAGCAGTATGTGTTGAGATTACCTGTCTTTTCTGGTTGTATTCAGTATGGATACCATCATGAGCATAATGTGGCACGTTCTACCATTTTTTTCTTCATGCAAAATCTGAAACTGACTGCGCTGGTGTACCGGCGTGAGATGGAGAAACAGCTCTCATTGTTTGAACACTGTGTGGAGTAAATTAAATGTTTTGACTGACATTCTGCGGTTTAGCCACAAGATGTCACTGTTTTTCTAACACAGCCTCAGACTGCATAGATATTTCTATATTCATGAAGAGGTGGGGTTTTCACACAGAATTTAGCAAGAACAGGAAGAAGAGGGAGAAGCCATGTTTAGAGGATGGTGACTGAAGGAGCCATATGAGCAGAGAATCTGATGGCATCCAGGTGTGAGAACATCCCTCAGTAACCAGAGCTTCAGCGAAGTGAAGCTGATCGTGTCCAAGACCCTGATCCTGTTCAGAGAAAGGAAGATTGCTGCCAGGAATGCTGATGAGAGCAGAGGAACTAAGCAGCACATACTGCGATGCCTCATGCTTGTTGGAGAGACATTTGTTCTATTCAGAGTCACCAGCGGATGAAAAGCAGACCTGGGTTGGTAAGATCGTGCACGCACCTCATTTCAGTGTTGGCGCCTAGAGACTGAGACCAGGCCTATAGTTAGTTAGGGTCTCTGTTTGTGTCAGGCCACAAGTGTTGTTACTGATCATTGGAAGGACTCCACAACTTAAAGTGACATTTCACATTGGAGAGCTGACAAAATCCTACAAACTCAAGCCAGGCTGGCGTTTTGCTCAAGTAGTGCAGCTGCGGAGCCACTTCTTCAACCGACCTCAGCAAGAGGGCGAGACTGATGCAGTACTCCAATGCCCTACAGGAGACGCTAAATGAAATACAGCGGCGAGATCCAGAGGCCATGGGAGCTTTCCGGGAGGTGGACTGGCTACTACGAGACCAGTTCATAATGGGGCTCTGCAACAAGTTCTTATAGGACAAATTGCAAGAGATGACCCGGGCGGCGCCCAACATGACATTCTACAGCATCTACTTAGCTGCCGTGGAGAGAGAGGAAGAGTTCATACCTGTGGCGGTGAGAATAGTCAGTAGTACCCATGCTAAAAGAGGTCAGTCTGCATCTGAAGACTCAGAATCCTTAAAGGATGTGGTCCAGGCCCTGCGGACAGAATTAAGAGAACTTCGGCTGGAAGTGTCTCCGATGAAGGCAGAATCTCCCCGGTCTCCGGAAATGACCTCAGCACCCCACGACACTCCACCCAGGATAGCTCAGCTGCGGGGGGCACGTCAAAAGGGGATCCCTCTGTTGGGCTTGTCGACAGTACGGCCATATGGCCCGAGAGTGCCCAGAACAGATGATGTCGGAGCTGACGTTAAACTTCCGACCGCCACAGTAGCTGGGCGTCCTGCGGCGGTACACCAGAAGCTAAGCCCTAAGCATGAGTAACACGACCTGTATGCCAGCAGCCCCATTATGGAAGCTGAGTTGGAAGGCCAGAAGGTACGCTGCCTAGTTGATACAGGGTCAGAGTGAACCCTTATGCCTCTGGAGTTCTTCGAAAGACACTTTGGACATATGATGGAGCCAGAAGATGGGAGCGTCATCAAGCTGACGGCTGCCAATAACAGAGAGATGGATGTCCGAGGAATATTCTGGATGTAGGTCCGGCTGTGTGGGCAAGACGTCGGCAAGAAGGGGGTTGTGCTGGTGGATCATTCGTCCTGGAGAGGGATGGACGTGACAATTGGTATGAATGTGCTGAGAGACGTAGACCACCAACTTTATGCCAAAGAAGGGCTGAGGTATTGGCAACGGGCCACCACACACCGGCCAACCCAGCAGGTTTCTACAGCAGATGGTAAGGAGCTGTAGTCTGCGAAAGGGCGACATGTCCGGTCGACCCATTGGACACGTGAGGGTGCCGCGGAGGACCCCCGGTGAAGATCCCGCCTCGACAAGAGTGAATATTGATGCTGCCGGTTGGGGCTGGATGACAACTGAATGGATTGGAGGTCCTGATCGAGCCCGCTTACCATGAAGAAATGCAGACTCATCCACTGGTAGCCCGGGCCCTCACTATTGTGAAGGATGGATGTGTGCCGGTACGCTGCCTCAACGTTGAAGACTGTGAGTTAACCGTCCCTGGGAATACCTTGCTGGCCGAAGTTTATGTGTCCGAAGGGGATATTCCTCGATGGAGGAGCTTCACGCTATGGCCAGATAGGACCTATGCTG